AGCAGAATCTAACCCTTCACTGGTCTTCTTTCAAAGCAAGGCTTAACCTGACAAGAGGTGACCTCAGCAACTCTTTTGTTTTTTAAATTGCCAGAGGGTATGTGCATTTATTAGAGATAAAAAGAGAGAAAGCACCCCCAAATGGCATGGGGCATGGTGACACCACAATCTTTTTCCTATCTTTTCTCATCCTGTGAGGATTTTGGGAATGTACGCACAAGCATCTGGCGTATTTTCAATCCACCAGGCCAGGGACTCGAACCGTGATTGACCACGCAGGATTTGGCTTTTTATGCACGACAGCACTTAACCAGTGCACAATGCTGTCAGTCTTAGTGCTTTCTTTTGGATTTCATATTAATACTAGGAAGGCTGGTACTGCTCCATTTTTAAAACCTAGGTTACATTACTATATTCTAGTTTTCTATTTTTGGTAAACAATCAGACTTAGAAATTCCTCCCTTAACTCTGTACCTCTATAGAAAAATGAGGAAAAATGCAAATGGAAAAACAACTGAGACTAAGAACTAAAACACAAGGAATAATACAACTATCACCAGAAATTGTGGAAAGATATGGCCAGACTTAACAACCCTCTCTTTCTTTATTTTTTATAAGGGGTTACACCATGTTCCAACTCTTTTAAGAAACTTCCCTTAACTGATCATTATGATTTCCTTTAGTAATGCACAAATTCACATATCTGCTCAATAAATATTTATTGAATATCTGTCTGATATGATGATATATATCTCTAGAAATTAATACACTAGCACTAATGTGGAAATTTAATTATACTCCCTTGATAATTACTTATTTCTAACTTTTTACTTGGTTAATTTTTTTTTATTAATTCACTTTACACCATCACAACACACAAATGAATTTTCCATCCAAAATACACTGTGCATTTGTTCAATCAAGCACATCCACATACATGTTCTCAGCAAATAATTTTCCAATTCTTACGTCCTGCATACCTTGCCCTTTGTCTTGCCATCCCTGATTCCCCATCCCCCACCCTCTGCTATGTCCCATCTTCCTCCCCCATTGTCCCTGGCCACATTTTCTTTATGTACTTATCTGTTAACAGACATTTAGCTTCTATAGCTTGGCAATGATTAATTATGGTGCAGTGAACATGAAAATGCAGATACCTCTTTGAGATAATGATTTTAATTTCTATAAATACATATCCAGTAGTAGTATTGCTGTACCATATGATAGTTCTATTTTTAATATTTTGTGAACCCCCAATACTGTTTTCCATAGTGGCTATACCAATTTATATTCCCACCAACTGTGTATAAGTATTCTCTTTTCTCTGCTTCTTCACTAACACTTGTTATCTTTTTTATTCTTTCTTTTGTTTCTTTGTTTTTTTAGACTTTTGATATAGGATGCATGAGTTCACCAGAGAGAGACATTAAGAGAGTAAAAGTGAGTAAAGATACTCCAGTGGGAGGACCACACTGAAATCTTCCATTCTTCTCTCAAGATTTTGGGCATGTATACACACATGCTCAGTGTGCTTTCAAGCCACCAGGTCCACGTCTCAAACCACAGGTTTGGCCATGTGGGATCCAATACCTCAATCACCATGCCACCTGCTGGTCTGCCTTTTTTATTTTAGCCTTTCTAGCATGTGTGAGGTGATATCTCTTTGGGGTTTTGGTTTGCATTTCCCTAATAATTAATATTATTGAGAACTTTTTTTATAAACCTGCTGGTCATCTATAAATCTTCTTTAGAAAAATGTCTGTTGACTATTTTTTAAACTGAACCATTTATTTCATTGAATTGAGTTGTAGAAATTCCTGAGATGTTTTGAGTTTTGACCCCTTAAAAGATATATTTTAGCAAATATTTTCTACCAACCTATAAGTTGCCTTTTCATTTTGTTAATCATTTCCTTTGCTATGCAGAAGTATTTTAGTTTGAAGCTTCCCGCCCGCTGCAGCCTCGATTGGCGCGGGTCCCGGGGGTGGCGGGGGTCCGCAGCTGGGCCCATGTGGGCCGGCGCAGGGCCCCTCCGCCCACCGCCGCCTCGCTCCTTACTTGGTTAATTTTGTGCCTATCAGACTGCATCTTCTTCTAGCTAAACAGACTTTGTTTTACTATTGTTTTACAAAACCTTAACTACACCTAGTATGAAGTAAACATATGAGAATAGTAGATACTCAAGATTTGCTTTTTGAATTTGTTAAGGAAATATAATTAGAAACAATCTTCTTCCAACTCAGAAATCCTCTCCCAAAGGGTAGCAGAGAAAGAAAACACTTTTACTGTTGAATAATCATTAAACCAGAATCATGTACATCAAAATTCACTAAGAGATCATAAAAGCAGAAAGAAATATGTATTACCTTGTTACAGAGCAAAGCAGATGTGACCCATTGCATACATACATGTTCTCAAGTAAGAGAACATGACAGTACTGTTGTCACGCATGTTTTACCCTAGGTTCATCTAGTAATCGGGTAACCATCTGTGGTAACTGACTAAATACAGAGGAAAACCAAATTCCCCATATGTTTATGACAGGAGATAGTTCTCCAACTCAAACAATTGAACAATTGCCCACCGAGTTTAGGCTCCTATCCTCACACAGAAATGGAAAGATAACTGTTATCTCTCTTGATGTTTACATTTCAAAGAGATGACTCCCAGGTCTCCTGAGAAAGACATTCCTACACCATGTAACTGATAAGAACAAAAAAAAGAAAGAAGCTATCTAGTTTTCAAAAGAAGTTAAGCACATTGTGCAGAGTGAGGGGAAAGTATTTACGAAGTTTTCTAAAGTTAATGCCCTAAGAAAAGAAAGGTGAACAAAGTTTCTTTTCTTGTTTTTTCTAGAGGGATCAGTAAGTTTTTGAGAGGGATAAGTAAGCCTATATCTTTTTTTTTTTTTGGGGGGGGGGAGAGATTTTTGCTGTAGGGCCCATGCTTTCCATGGAGAGAGAGAGAGACAGAAGGCAAGAAATCATACCCCTAAGGAGAAAGGTCATGCTGCAATCCCTTCTCTTCCGTTCTCCTCCCAGGATTTTGAGCATGCATGCATACATGCCCAGCATGAGTTTCAAGCACCCAGGTTCCAGGTTCAAACCACAGTCAGCCACATGGCAGTCCAGCACCTTAACCACTAAGCCACCTGCTGGCCCCCATTTATTCTTAATTCTTACGTGTTCTTGAAAATGAAGTTTTAAAAGCGTGGAGGTAATCATTTAAAGACATTTTCCTCCTTGTAAGGAATTGCTTTCTCTAATGGTGAAACCTGGAAAACTATGAGAAGGTTCAGCTTGACCACATTACGCAACTTTGGAATGGGCAAGCGGATCATAGAAGACACAATTATAGAGGAATGCCAGAATCTCATACGGAGCTTTGAGCTTCATAAAGGTGAGTAGAACACATAAATCTTGGTCTTATTTTTCATGAGAAAGAAGTCAGTGAATGTTAAATTTTCATTGTCTATTTGGACATAATTTCAGACTTGTAGAAAAATTTCAAAAATAAACAAATAATTCTCAATACCCTTCTACTCTTCTCCAAGATTTTCTATGTCAGCATTTTATATTTGTTTGTTTTATTTGTGAACTACTTGAAAGTATTTTGCAGACATGCTGTTCCTCTATTCTCTTTTTTTAAATTTCTTTGTACATTCAACAACTATATATCACTATAGCTGAAAACATGAATTTTCTTAACATTAATACACTATATATTAGTTCAGTTAAAGGTATAATCATACACACTATCATCAACAGATAATTTTCCATTTTTGTGTCTTTTTGCTTTTTAATTTTAATTTACATTTAATTACATATATCTTTACAGTTTACATTTCTTTTTCCAACATGAACATCATGCATATAGGTCAATACAAAGACATTATTATATACATTATCATCAGCAAATAGTTTTTCTTTTTTTTTCAATTTTTTAAAAAGTTATTTTAGAGAAATTTTTGCTATAGGGTGTGTGCTTTTGCCAGAGAGACAGAGAGATAGAAAGCAAGAAATCACCTCCTCCCCACCCCCAGAGAGATGACCATGCCACAATCACTTCTCCTCCATTCTCCTCTTGGGATTTTGGGCACCCATGTACATGCGTCTGGCATGAGTTTCCAGCCGCCAGGTCTGGGACTCGAACTGCAGGTTGGCTACATGGGAGTCCAGTTGACATAACCACTATGCCATCTACTGGTTCCAGCTTTTCATTTTTTTTTTTAAATCAATTAAACATATATTTTTTTCCTTCCCCTGTCACCCTCCTCCCTTTCTCTATTACCCACTTCCGTACAACCACTATCCTTACTATCTCTGGTATCTACCATTGTCCTCTGCTACTATAGCATCCAAACTTTCAGTTTCTGCTATAGAGTCCAGACATTCAGTATATATTGGGTGAGGACATACAAAATCTGTCTTTTATACTCTGACTTGCTCCATTTAGCATTAAGTCTTCCATATTCTTCCACTTTGTATCTAATGTCAGGATCTCATTGTTTTTTTATGGTTGAGTAGTATTTCATTGAGTACATATGCCACACTTTTTTTTCAATCTACTCATCTGTTTTTGGACATTTGGGTTGATTCCTAGCAGTTGTAAAGAATGCTACAATAAACATAGATGTGCCAGTGTTTTTCCAATTGAGGATTTTTCTATCTTTTAAGTAAATGCCTAAGAGGGAAATTACAAGGTCTTATCATAGTTCTATTTGTAGATTTTTGAGGAATATCTATATCATTCTCCAAAGTGGTTGTACTAATGTGGATTCCCACCAATAGTGTAGGAGAATCATCTTTTCATCACAGCTTAACCAGCACTTATCAATATTTATTTTTTCTCAATTTAGCCATTCGGACTGGGGTTAAGTGGTATCTCATTGTGGTTTTGATTTGCACTTCCCTTATGATAAGAGACATTGAGCTTGTTTTTACATGTATTTAGGCCATTCATATATCTTCTTCGGAGAGTTATCTATTCATACACACACACACACACACACACACCCCAAAATACCATGCCCTTGACCTGGCACATTTTTATTTTTTAAGCTAAGTCAAATGCAAATTTCCATTGATAAATGCTTCTAATTTCCTGGTGGCATTTTTTTTGAACAAATCCTGGGTATATTTCAAGGCTCAATCAATCTCATCTCTCTCAGGAAGCTGGTTACAAATTATCTCCATTTATTATAGTTATATTGAAATATATAGTATGTTATGTACCAAAAGTGTGTAACTAAAGCACTATTTCCAGTGTTAAACTTTTTCTATGAAATGTTTTGCTTGACAGTCTGTCTCAAACAGCCTGGTACTCCTTTCATCTTGTATATGTGAGTATTCCTAATCTGGGTAATGAATTATCTTGCAGGAAATCCTTTTGAGACCAAAACAGTAATGAATGCTTCTGTGGCTAATGTCATTGTGTCAGTGTTGCTCGGAAAACGGTTTGACTACCAAGACTTCCAATTACTGAGACTCTTAAACTTAATCGATGAAAACGTGAGACTCATTGGCGGGCCTAAAATTATGGTAACTGCATCTTTCTATTCACTTGTAGTTTCTCTAAAGAATAGCTGATTGTTCAAGAGACCATAAAAAAGTATTAGTAGAGAATTGGCATTTCAAAAATGTATACTTTCTGGAACATTCTTGGTACAGAGATATGTATAACAAGTTTGGTTTGTTAGCATATCAAATAATTATCCCATCACAAAATGCTGCATCAATATCTCTTTTGATGATGCAGGGAACACAATGCTATATGGCTTTAATAAATTCTAATAATTTTGGCCTCCCGTCTTTTGCCTATACTACTAATTATGCATGAAGTGTGAAATAAACAATGTCTAAATAAGGAGCACTGAGCAGAAGTCACTTAGGAGAGTGAGTTTTAACAAACCAAGATTACCACATACTGAAAACCATGCCAAATAAAACTTCAATATTTATTATGAGCCATACATGCTCACAATACTGCTACAATCCAATTTTTCATCATTGTGAGAGATAAAGTCCCTAACATCTAGACTTGGAGAAAAAGTCTACTCAAACTGTTCTCATTCTAAATAGCATCACTGACAATCATATTAGACTCTATTTAGAATGCATACAGCTTTACTGTATATCCAGGTGCTTGGGAACACTGGAACAGGCAATTATACTGTTTAATTTTAGATATGTGTTTTATCCATTATTTATTACGTCATTGGGTGGGGGAGTGGGTTGTGAGTGATTTTAAGTACATAACTAGCTGAGTACGTTGTCACAGTCCTATTGGCCTGTTGTCCCAGCTAGTCGGTGGAGGAGGATGTCACAGTCCTGTTGGCCTGTTGTCCCAGCTAGTCGGCTGATGAAGGAGGATTGCGAGTTTGAGGCCAAGCTGGGAAACAGGCTGTCTCCTAACAAAGAGCAAAGAATATGACTCAGTATGTAGACTCTCTCTCCTCCAAAATCAATATACCGGCAAATACACAACTTAACAACCAAGAAAGTCTATCCTGAACTTTTAAGGGTCAATCTAATATTTTCGATTGAGTGGTGCTATTCTTTAGGATCTATACACAGAAAATTTGCTCTAATTTTTTTAAATATTGTGATCCTACATAAGATATTAGTGGCACATTTATTGTTCTATGTAGAATGAAATAGTTTGGGATCATGCAGGTTTTTGCAAGAAAAATGCTGACCCTGTAACCAATACAATGTCAATGTCTTGTCTAACTTCTGAATAGATCTATTGTCACAGACATAGCATAAAAAGCACTCTGAAAATATACATCTTATTGTAAGTTATTTTAAAATTCACTGTAAATTATTTAATTCTGATAAATGAGGACCTCTCATCCAGTTTAGTCTTATATTTTAGTTGAAGTAAAGTTCAAGGTATTATTTCTGTGATGCTGTAAGAAATAATGTTTGTGACTTTTTTTTCACAAGCAGTATTCAACTGTATATTTAATTTACTTTAAAAAATGTTCTTTCAGCTTTTCAATATGTTTCCTGCTTTGGGATTTCTTCTAAGAAGTCATAAGACAGTACTCAGGAATAGAGATGAATTATTTTCTTTTATAAGGATGACCTTCCTAGATCATCATCATAAACTTGACAAAAATGATCCAAGAAGTTTCATTGATGCTTTTTTGGTCAGACAGCAGGAGGTAATGTTGTTTGATTCAGAAGTTTCCTTTGCCTATTGTTTATTATTTAGTCCAATTAATAGCACTTGAAGTAAAATCATTCTTTCGGAATAAAAAAGAGGACCAGCCCTGTTGCCTAGTGGTAAAGGGAGCCAGATCCAACATGGCTGACCAAGGTTGAAATTCTGACCCCTGCAGCTTCGAAAACACTCTGGGTGTATGTGTGTGCATGTCCCAAATCCAGACAGGATAGAGAAATGGAGAAGGGTCACACCCCATTGAGGGGTGCTTTCTTTCTCTCCCTCCCTGTTTCTCTGTCTCTCTGGCAAGTGCACACAGCCTCTGGCAATAAAAGCAACCCTCCCCCAAAGAAAAGAAATAGAAAACGTAACTGGCATCAAGTTAATAATTATACATGTATACACTCTAATTCTACTGGGTTGTTGGAAAAATCATGACACATTTTGCATAGAAAAACATATATAACATGACTTTTCTGAAGAACATATAAACATAGAAAAACATGAATGTCATGACTTTCTTATTACATTTTATATTCTCAAATATTTTCCACCACTTTTCACATTACTCTGTAAAACATACAAATCTTACTTATGTTAATTTTTGTTCTGTTTGTTTGTAAGACAAAGTCTTTGCATTGCAATCTTTCTACATAAGCCTCCTGAGTAGCTGATCTGTAGGTGCACGCCGCATCCAGCATTTTTTTTAAGAGAGAGGTTTTTGCATATACTGCATGCACTTACTGGAAGACAGAGAGATAGAAAGCAAGAAAACATCCCCCAGGGGGGATGGCCACACCACAATCCCTTCTCCTCCAGTCTTCCCCTGGGATTTTGGGCATACACGTACATGCACCCTGCATGAGTTTTAAGTCACCGGTCCAGCACTTCATCCACAGACAACTACGTGGGAGTCTAGAGACTTAACCATTACACCATCTGCAGCTCCCTATCCAGAATTTTTTTTGAAAAGAGGGTCTCACTATGCTGCCCAGGCCAGCCTGAAGTTTTCAATCCTACTGCCTCAGTCTCCCAAGTCAGTGTTTTTTTAATTCTTTTTTATTTAATTGATTTTTTTTGGAGAGGTTTTTGCTATAGGGCGCATGTGCTCGCCAGAAAGACAGAGAGAGAGAGAGAGAGAGAGAGAGAGAGAGACAAAGAGACAGAAAGCAAGAAATCACTCCCCAGGGAGGATGTCCACAACACAATCCCTTTTCCTTCATTCTCTTCTCAGGATCTTGGGCACACACGCACACGCGTCCAGCATGAGTTGAAGCCACTGGGGCCGGGACTCAAACTGCGGTCAACTACATGAGAGTCCAGTGACATAGCCATTACGCCAACTGCTGGTCCCCCAAGTCAGTGGTTTTTAAGGCCAACACCATGGCACTCAGCCTTTAGATTGGACCAGACACTGAACCCGGGCCTTCGATGTGATCCCGACCTATGGAACATGGCATTTTGACAGACCACCACCATGGCTGGGGCTTACACATGTTAGATTACAGAATAAGTATTCTTTTTATGACAGTCTTGAAAGATATATTTGAATTTTAAAGTCAAAAAAAGATTATTTAATTAAAAATTTTTAAAGAAGCAATAGCAGAGACTATTCTAATCCTCAAATTAGAAGTCAATTTTCTTTTCTTTTTTTTTTTTTTTTTTTTTTTTTTTGTGTGTTTTT